CCATTATGCGCTCTAGGCTTGTCAGACGAACTCGTCAGGTTTCTATTTCTCATTACGATTATCGAACTTTGAACTCTGTACGTTGATAAATGGCCGATTTCTTTACTCCTGTTCGAAGTTTGCAGAAGGGAAGACCGGGGTGAGGATAGTTAATCAATTCAATCAGTGGTAGTAGGAAATTTATCTATTCATTGTTGGAGTAAGTAACTTTAATATTTACAACATAACGGATCGGATTAAGAAGTCTCATGGAGAAAAGTAGTTTTCTTACATAAATTTCGAAGCATTGCTTGGGCGCAGTTTGATATGTGGCATATTTAAGTTTATGTTACTCAATTTCAGATTGAGATTTACACATTCGAATTCATAGAACCAAAAAATATACATTTAGCTAAATTTTGGAACTGTCTCAGCTTCTTCCAAATAGTTCAAATGAATGCATCTACATGTTATCGCTTAAGCTATGAGGACATCTACTACAATAAACCTCTTTATTAAACTTTATCACGAGGGGGTCGTTAGCGCGTGGAGCTGCTAATCGGTCAGCTCGAAGGCTCTCCGGTTCAAATTTTCGCATCGGTAGTTAATTTCGAGCCATGGATGTAGGGTCGTAGATGACCTGCGGAGCAGTACAACGTTGGTACTACCGAGTCGGCAAAGAGGGACAAAGGTGTCCTAGTTGCGACGTCGCCTCCCCACCTCTCGGACTAAGCTTTGTCACAGATATAACTCTGGTAGATAAAATTATCGCGATCAAAGTACTCGTACTTACCAGGCATACAACGAAAGGTTCGCTGCTCACTTTTTAAAAACTTCATTAACGATGCTGACGAAGTGGTCTGGAGGTACCGATTAAGACCGATTGATAAAGTGCACAGGTGTTTCCATTCCTCCACCTCTCTAACATAGAGTAATTATTTAGCGCAGTCGTTACGGGCGGGAGTTGAGCAGTTCCAGGATTAATTTTTGTTACACTCTGACTCTATCTTTCTATGTTCCACTTTGATTCCGTTAGGTTGGCGTATTTTTACACAACATACCGTGCACGCTTAGCAGGTGCGTAGCAAAAGGGGGTACGTATATTTTTAGGTTCAAACTATAAAGACTATGAAATCTTGGAAACAGTTCCATGGTTGACATTTGACCATGCGCAACATTCTGCAAATGCATGTAGTTACAAACCTACTAAAATAATTATCCAATAACTCCGAACATATATGATTTGCCTACTGCTATACATCGCAAGTTTATAAAATATTGGTAATATTTCTAGAGTAGAAAAGATTAACAAGGAAAACTCCTATAATATATATGATACAAATTACATTTTAGGGGCATAGCATTACTTCTCTAACATGATTCTGAAATCTCTAAGATTTGCAAAAATGTGGTTTCCAGCCAAGAAATATATTAGATATAAGGATGATACACCAGAAAAAGAAACCTATTCTTGGTTGCGAGAGCAGGTTCTACTATATGGTGGGCCAGGAGAACGTAAACAGTTCAATCTTTGCTTAATATATCTATTTGCTTGGCATACGGAGATAGTTTTTAGTGTAAGCTCAGTTATTATGCGTGACATCTAAAAAAAGCTAAATAAATGTTAGCCACCAGTATTGCTCATGAATTGGTCAATATTTTTATCTCGACACTAAGTGTTGACTCAAACATACATTCTTTTAAATAGGAAACGGTGCATTTTATTGCAAATTTGGATACGTACTTTCAAACAAAACAATTTGATATAACGTACTATACGGGTTTATTGTTAAATTTTTGAGCTACTGGGCAATAGAAAAACACTCAACTTTGATAACTCGCACCTCTGCAACTGATATAGCTAAAGAACTAAATCATCTGCCTGCTTTTTTCAGTTTTTTAGATAGTTTTTGCGGGTTGGTCATGAACGAAAAATGAACGATTTTTGAACATTTTGTATGTCTCCACACTTTTCGATTTTCCTTTCCATAAGCTCTTCTTGATATAGGTAAGTCTTATAGAGGTTTGTGCGACTGGTTCCTTCTCCACCTTGGCCTTCTTGACTTTTCAAATTTATGGCTCAAGATTGGTAAGATTTGATCGATATAATGAAAATACACAAATACAAACGATCTGCCATTACCAACTGAATGAAATTTCTAATTTTGAAAGGTGTGGTATTTTTTTTACCTTCATATCTTCGACTGTACCTCGAAACTAGTCGCACAAGCCCCAATATACTTATATTAAAAGAAAGCTTCTGAAAATGGGAATCCAAGAGTATGAGTGTTCTGTTTGTTGGAAAACTAATTTTGTGTTCGGAACTACGTAAGGTATAAAAAACGAAAGTGTGTGGATAAGAAGAAATAATGAGATCATGAAATTCCTCTAACGAAACATCGATAGATTGTCCAGAAATTCGAAAATAATATATTTATGTGATATCAAATTGTTACGTTTAAGAGGGCCTATCCAAATCTGTTAACAAATGTGATATTTCCATGTATTTTTGGATCACAACTACAATTTTTGTAACTATCTTGTTTAGATACAGACCACTGTAACACAATTATCGATGGAGACCACACTAAAAATAACCCTGTACATATATCCTTCTCAGTTTTTTTCAATTTGATAAGTACAACACAACACTTCAGCAAGAGAAATATCTTCATCGGACCTTGTGCATCTTTAATAGCAGAGCAGAATCGAGGGCAGAGCCTAACCGCTCACATGTATTCCTATCCAGAATGCCCCAACCACTACAGCCTCGAAGATTTATTGGGAGCTATTTGTAATGGAATTGAGGTCACTCGTTATCGGTCTATCAAACTTGAGGTAAAGTCAATACAGAGATATATGTACTTGCGTCTACATTTTCCTCTATTGTATATTTTACTTGGTTTACATTTTTAACATGTTTTGTTGGTTTGTATGTAATTTAGTTATTGTAATTTGATGACATGAGACGATTTGAAGTAGTACTTTTCCTATGTTCTCAAATATCAAAATACATTAAATTTTCGGTATCACATAGCAATATTGTTTGAAAGTTGACTTGATGAAAAAAATTCATGCTGCTTCACCACCTCAGAATCTGTCTTCTCCAGCAAGTCACACAAACACAACTCCAGTCTATTTCTTGTCATCTCTCGATTTGCTTGCTTCCACATTATTACTTGCATTCTCCGTAATCACCTCAGGACTTTACAAGAATACTTCAGCAGTGTTTCTCCGCTATCCAATTCTCCATGACGTGCTTCTTTTCTCTTGTCCGCTCTTAGTACTCTCCATAATATGTTTTTTCTAGATGGAAATTACTTCCACACTCACAAATCTCTGTTTAAGGTTTTGTCTACCTCGGCATCGTATAAATCATATGAGAAAACTTTTATAAGCACCTCCAGTCGTAAAAGCCGAAGTCATTTTCGAGCTCCGTTGAGAATTTTTTCAGGACTGGCAGATATACTGCTTGGCTGTGGGCTTTTTATATCATATAATGCGGTCCAAGCAAAACTTATATTTATGTTATATACTTCTAATATTGCCGTCCCCAAATAAAATTCTGCTGAACATCTAATTTCCAAAAAATGATACAGATAGTGTACTTTTCACAACTGCAATATCTGAGGGCAAATTAAATGTCAAAAACTCCATTGAATCAGAAAATGCTTATCTGCATTTATTTCAAAATTTGAAAACGACTGAATGAGAGAACGTGCTATCCATATATAGGACCTCATAGTGCAACACACTTTCAGGTGCGGCTTAATATTGATAAACTTAAAAACTTGCAGAGCAACATTTTTCATGTATTTTGAACTCGATAACCCTAGGGCAACTAGATAACTCAACAAAATCACAATTTAAATTTAATAAATTAAAATCCTAATAGTGGAGTACCGCAACTACTCTAAAAGGTAATCATCTTGTTAGATCGATTTTTGATCTGGTTTATGTTAGGGAAACTGAAAAAAAGCTGCCTATTCTGGCACATTGCTTTGATGGAAGGAGCGCTCTTGCCGATCAGTTTTTGAGGTAGAGAGCTTAACAGAGTCAGAGTGGGTAACACCAAAACGGAGTAAATATGGTATAACAGGGTGTTAGGAAAATAATATTCGTAACTTTAAGAGGTGATTCCTTGCATTATTCTAAGCAAAAAAGTTCATTATAACTTATGTCCGAAAATCAATCGTTGTCGAGGAAAGTGATTCGTAAATAATTAAATTTTCTCAAACATTTGGCAACGCCGGAACGCAACCGCGATACGAGCGCACGACGACCGCGACAGATTCATCATATTGTTTACGTTTGTATGATATATTTGTTGAAAATATGCCGTAAATTATTGAATACTTTTACGCAATTTTTTGTGGCTAATATATATTTTTTATTAAACAATGCTTTCAGTACAGCACATTTACTCAAAAAAATGACTTACCAGTACGTGGTGATACACACCACCGATTCCTACGATTATCAGTCACTTATTTGAAACGATGCGATGCATGAAAAAAGAACAAAAAAGTAACATCCGTAAATCACATAAAGATACAGTTAAATGTATTAATAATCACAACAACACGCGATGATACATGCAGTGCAGGCGGAGTACGATGTTGCCAGTTATGTGAGGGATTTTGTTTGTCTGTTTATTTGCGGAAAATTGCATTTAATAAGCATGAAAATTATTTTGTTAGAGACAGTTAATTAATAAATAGATGTATAGATACATTTTACGCTACTAGGCATATGAATTTAAATTATTAAGGTGCAAAATTAATTTGTTTCATGACTAAAAAGAAATAAGTTTAGCATTTTTTTTGCTCCGAAACGGTTGATTTTTGGACATAGTGAACTTTTTTGCTTAGAATAATGCAAGGAATCACCTCTTAAAGTTACGAATATTACTTCCCTAACACCCTGTATATAGATGAGGACTGGAGAAATTGAGAATGGATAAACACATAGTAGATATTGCAGGTCATCGACTTATTATGTTATAGTAGGGTAGGAATTACCTGTGTAAGAAGTTTGGCGTCTCCAGTATCTGTTATGTTCTGCAAGCTGAATTTGGAACTCTCGACCCACCATTTGTTTTTCCGAACATGGCTCTTTGTGTTTCCGTATATGGACTCTTTGGAGTCGTTTCTAAAATACCATTTTCAAATACGGTTTTCCCATTTGACCACTGATCGGAACAAGCTATGTCTCCCTGCTTTTTTTGTTATATCTAAATGACCCCGTTCGTTATTCATATACGAAGGTTGATTTATATGCTCCACTTGGGATTCCTTTTCAGATGCTTATTGAATATTAAGTTTATACGTCGAATTATTCTGACGTTATGTGTCCTGTTGTTCGTGTGTGATTAGTATTCGAATACAGGTAGAAACGGGTATTGTTCCACAAATAATAATAGCTTGTCTGCAAATCCTGAATTTCTCCAAAATGTTGTGACAACTGTTGGATGGTATGCAAACTTGATCGGCAAATTGCCGAATGCTTTCAACGAAAAAGGTTGGGGAAATTAATTAATAATTAATAAGTGGCAAATTTGTTTTATCAGGATAATGCACCCAGCCGGACCACCTGCAATGCTATCCACACCGAACGTGCTTTCAATCTGTAGTTTACTCACTACACTCGCCAGCCCTGGTCCCTAGTAATTCCACAAAATTTCTAAAACTAAAACGATATTTACAACAGGAGTTTTCAAGTAAGCAACAGTTATTACTTGCGGTAAAAGAGTATTGATGTAAGAAGGGATTGAGTATGAACATAAAATGTATAACACGAGGGCAGGATCGTCAGTCGCTCCTACAATTTGTAGGACGCCTTTATAGTCTTTTATCTCCTTTAGGAAAGCTGGGATATTTCTAGATTTCCACTCTTCCATGTCAGCGTCAGCGCTCTCCTATTGTGAAGCTATGTTTTCTTTTTGAATTGTAGGAAATTTCAGGACCATAAAACAGTCCATATAAATCAAAAGCATGAACAATTTGATGCAAACAGATATTTGTAACATAACCTCAAAATAGAGGGCTTACACGGAAGAGTAGAAAACTATGAAAATCAAGGAGGCTATAAACGCGCCCTATAATTGTAGGAACGATACGGCACTAAATGTAACTTTATTGCAAGGTGGTTAAGCAATGGTAGTAATAGGGTTACTTTAGTAATTTTCCCTAGGTATAGCTTGCTAAAAAAATGCCAGGGCCGGTATTTTCGTCCTCCAAAACGCAAAGTAGTCGTTCAGCTAATATGATGTTGGGGATGCGGATATTCGAGGCTGATGACCCCTTTAAATTCTCGGAGCTTGTAAAGAAACTGTAAAGCCACGCCACATAAGAAAACAAGATGTGCAAAAGTTGGAAAAAAGGCTGCAACCACCTTTGATAGTGCCTTACAGATCGTACGTGATGAGTAATCTAGCAAAATTAAGCAGCAATAATACAAAACTGGCGAAAAATGCATATAATACTAAAGAAACAGTGACGCTTTTATTATATACTAAGTGACATAAATCCGAACACCCAGTTTAAATGGTTTTATTTTAATAAAAGTTGGTGAATGTATTTATCTTACTGTAGATAACAATTGAAAAAATTTTCAGCCTTCTCAGTTGGACATTCCGGTTTTTATACTGCTTTTTTTAATTCACTAACGCTCTAAAAAGGAATATTTCAGCCGCAGTAAAAAATCAACGTTGGCGGATTTTGGTTCTTGACATGCTTTACGATCGGTTACGATGCCTAGAGTACGGAGACCTGTACGATTTCGTCAACTTAGTGAGTTTGATAGGAGCCGTATAGTGGGACTTCGGGAAGCTGGACTTTCTTTTCGGGCAATTGCAGTTAGAGTGCAAAGAAGTGGACATTGTGGTTAGGTGTTGTCAGGCATGGCTTCGAGAAGGCCGTACGCAAAGAGCAAGGGACACTTAACGCCGCCGTAGAACAACAGACCGTGAAGATCGCCGCCTAAGATTATTGGCCTTAAGGGACCGTTTCTCCACTACCAGCTCCATTGCAAATGAATGGTTTGCAGAACACGGAAGACCTATTGGCATGCGAAGTGTTTACCGACGAATGAGAAGTTTTGGCTTGTTTTCATACCGGCCACACTGGGTCCTCCCTTTAACTCGAGAACACTGACGTAATCGCCTTGAGTGGTGCAGACAACGGTCACTCTGGGATCAGGAATGGAACAATATTGTCTTTAGTGACGAGTCTGGATTTCGTTTAGGCATGCACGATGGTCGTGCCAGGGTTAGAAGGCGACGTGGTGAAAGGAGGAATCCACAGTTTCTTGTTGAAAGACATGTTCATCACACTGTTGGAGTTATGGTTTGGGGTGCTATAGCTTATGGTTCCAGGTCACCTTTAATCTTCATTAGAGGTAACATGAACGCGCAGCGTTATATCCACGAAGTTCTAGAACCCCATCTTTTACCCTATCTTGACACCCTGGCAGATCCAACTTTCCAACAAGATAATGCCCGACCACATGTTGCAAGAGTCACAATAGACTTCTTTCAACATAATGATGTCACATTGTTACCAGGGCCACCAAGATCTCCCGACTTATTCCCAATTGAGCATGTGTGGGATATGATGGGTAGGAGATTGCTCAATTTGCAACGTCCTCCTCAGACTCTTGAAGCACTTCCAGAGGAGTTGGTGGTTGCCTGGAATGAGATACCACAGGAGGACATTGACCACCTGATCAGAAGCATGACTAGGCGCGTTGGACAATGCTCATCAGTAAATATGAATATAGCATTACAGAAAGAAACCACGCTGTAAAGGTACCCATTCACATACAGCTCGCATGCCGTCTAGAAATGTCGATTTGTATATCTTCAGTAAAAATTTGCCAATACACATGCAGGCTGCCAACATGTCTGAGCCTGCAGACCATACGAATTCGGTGATAGACTTATGTGTGTGGAGTAAAGACTTCAGTTCAAATCTGTAGCTCCCAACTTAAAATGTGTTGGAAGATTTTACATCATTTTGCAGCAAAATGGCATAATCGAGCAATAGTAGCGCGAGTTTAAGTGAACTTATTAATTTATAATTACCTTGTTTGTGGGAAATATAAAGTAAGTCTTATCCAGACAGGTTCTAAAAATGAATCTTGCGAAAAATTACTGGGCTTACTCATATATAAAAGTGTAGATACCAGTGCAACCGTTAAGAAAAAAATTAACAATTTAAGTTGTACGCCTTTACCGTTAGGAATAATCTAGCGACTGTTACAATCTCGTGCAATTTTCTGCCATTCTTCAAGGGTTCCGGAAAATGAAAATATCTGATATGTATGTAGGCAACAATTCTTGAAAATCAATCTTTTGTTTCAGTGTGAAAATGGTGCAGAACAAATTGATTATAACACTGATATGGAAGACACCAGTTCTTCATTGCTCGACCAACCCTTTACCCAAAAACGTTTTTTTGCCTGTGTTATTGGCTTTTGTTATGATAAGACGTGCTGCGAGCTTTTTTTCTTGACCTCTTAGTTAACAACAAATTGTTGTTCTAACGGCCATTTGGAACTGACAAAGTATTTGCGTGCGTGGATAATGTTCAATTTTCCTGCAGTTCAGAATCTGTCAGTCTCAAAACTGCAGGCCGCGTCGCTTCAAATAACTGAATAATGTATGGTTCGAAAAAGCTTGAATCTGCTGGCGAATGGTATGTAAATGAGTCTCAACCGGCCATCTGTCAAACGAATTGTCTTGGCATATCGGCAGCGTACGGTTGCCAAGATGTGCCAGGCGGATTGAGCTTAAATTGTTCGGCACAACACAGTGAATACCTAAACCAAACGCTTAATGCTATGCCGTACGACACGACCTGCTTAGTGTTTTGGAAACGTATCGCTTTCAAGCTAAATAACGGGAACACCGGTCCAGATACGTAGAAACTCTGTCTAGGACATTCATTCGGTAGAAGCTAATCGACGACGTGTGGTAAATGCCGACTGGCTTAATATGCGATGTTCCTGAATCGGCGATCCAGTGATCCAGGGTGTAGCAGGGCTGTAAACATCTGTTATCGAGCCTTGTGGCCATTACATCCTGCTAACCGCTGGCAATGGCGTCTGGCTGAGCAATAAATCTCACCTTCTTGATATTGCCTCCAGCGGTGCGGTGAGATCCGCTCCACTTGGTATACTGGCCGGCGGGCGGTGGAATCGAAAAAACGTAGATCTTACTTCAATCGATGATCCTTTGTCTTGATGCTATTCACCTTTTAAGGTGAGCTTACTTGCCTTTCATTACTGCCGTCCTTTAAATATTGAGGAATAGCTAATGCGCTGATGAAAACGTACTATCATAATATATAATACGTGGCATTGATGCAGAACTACAGCAAATAATAGATTAAGGTATGGCTTGTTTAACGTAGAAGTAATGTCAGACCTGTGTTCAACGTATTTTCGTGTAGAGGTAGTCTACCAATACGACGTAATTTTTTTGCCACTAACTATACCTGTAAAATGGGACAAGAGCTAGTTCTGATTTAAAAGAGTAAAATAGAGGGTGCCGCAGAGAGGACGGACGTTTTTGGGATGGATAGTACTCCCCGCCTCCGTCTAAGAGAGAGGTGGGGAAGGTGCCGTTTGACTCGTATCCTAGCATTATTTTACCAGTTCTCGTTATGGAGCCTTGGACGGTGGAGCACCGCGTTTTCGCCTATGATTGTTTCGTCCGAAATAATGAGTCAGTCATCGTCGTACAGCGTGAGTTTCATCGCCACTTCAACATTCATCGGAATAGAGCTGTTCCCTCTCGAAACACCATCCTCCCTTGGGTTGAATCACTTCGGAGGCGTGGTGAACTGATCAACAGAAGACCAAGAGGAGGGCCGCGAACAGTTCGAACTCCTGAAAATGTTGAACGCGTTCGACAGGTCTTTCTTCGCAGTCCGACTCGATCTGCCCGGAAACATGCTTCTGCACTTCGCCTTAGTGATTGTTCGGTAAGGCAAATTTTGCATATGGATCTCCGCTTTCACCCCTACAAATTGGCCATTGTGCAACAGTTACAGCCCGGAGATTATGCACAACGAATGAACTTCGCACGTGAGATGGAAGCACTGATCGATCAAAATGAGAACTTCATTTTGTTTATGAGTGACGAAGTCTACTTTCACAAGCCACAAGCCGCGAACCCTGGACGAATCGAAGGGAGAAAT